TTTTCAACTGTTATGCTGATAAGTTGCTATACTTGTTTAGTTAATGAATACTTTTGCAAGAAATTACTGCTGACACTGGCGCCAATGATTGGTTTGTACACCTGATGATAAAAGCAGGGTCCTGTTGCCCGTGTCAACAGATCTCTCGTAAACCTCAGGGAAATTATTTACATTGTTATTGGGTGAACCTCTGTTTGTATCCTTCATGGCAGAAGGTTCAGTAAATGATGTTACATTATAGACTCTATTTGATGCTTTGTTGGTGATTTTTGATTGTTCATATTTATTAACTTTTAATTAGGATGGTTGAGTGTCTGGATTTATAAGCACGTGTGTTCTGATGACTGAACTGTATCAGGGTATTTTTCTTATGACTGATGGAGTTGTAGGAATTAAACACAAAGCTCAATATATCTGTATAGAACCAACACAAACCTACAAAATTAGGTTTTTCATTTGCTGCCCTAAGGCTAGGATAAACAAAAGCTAAGACAAGGTTTTTCATTCAGTTAAACCATCAGGAACAAAACAACTTTGAAAAATTTTGGCAATGCTTAAGATCATGAATGAGCTGAAGTAAGCGATATCTAAACTGTTTAGAATTCGCTATTACAACCCATGGCTCTGCTGTTGCACCATGTCTATATCATGACAATAATTTACTAGCTCAAGGACCTTATGGCTCCATACCTCATGGTAGTTGTTATTATCAATCTTCTGTAGCTGCATGATGAGTTCCCATGCAGCTTTACTGAAATTCTTTAAACTGATAAAAGAATAAAAGGCAAATAAAAACTTAAGTAACCAAAATAAGTTCCAACTATAACCAACTACATTTTTTTTTCAAAGATGGTACCATAACCAACTATATTGTTTTTCAGCAATAGCCATAGCTAACCATATAGTCTCAACAAAACAATAAAACAATTTCCTTAGACCCAGAAAAAAACAGGACAATCTACATACCACACCCTGAACATCAATAATAGTTGTTTATGGGCTTTATTTGGTGCTTATTGTCATGTCTTTTAGTTATTTTGTAGAAGCTGGGCTCTATTTTGTGAGCCCATATGTTTATGGGGCCCGATTGTTTAGCAAACTGGCCCAATGCAAACCAAAGATAGTCCTCTATGGGCGTAGGAGTTATTTTCTGTTCTTTCTTTAATTCTAAATTTCTTGTTCCCTGTCTGAGCCTGACTTGGAGAGCTAAGTACTGAATCAGTAACTGGGCTAGCCCAACTCAACGTCCAACATAATTTGCAATACTAGAAGCCTAGAATATACATTTATATGGTGTGGTTTCACGTCAGATCAGGTGTAGACAATTTTGGTTACATTGAGCTAATAATAAAAATTTTAACTATATGTCAGTTCAAGTTTTCATTTGACTTGCATACTCAAGACTTCTTCCCAAATATAGGTGTGCCCGACATAGCCTCTCCTACTTTCTGAGACTGCCAATTTAGGTAGGTAGCTGATACAAAAAGGTCGCATTATTAATAAACACATTCTTTGGAGGGGATTGAAAGAGGAGGGAGATACACAGTTGATGTTAGTCATTGCTTCTTTTAATTTTTTAATATTTTCTTGATGCAACAAAATGCAATAGCTTCTCAAGCTTGTCATTTTCCATATTGTGTTATTGTTGTGGGCCCCACATGATTCCATGATAAATATTTGCCATTTAGTGATGTATGTATACCTATATATGTTATTATTTTCATCAATGGAAAAAATGAATGAGAATGAAATTTGTAACCAAACAGGTTACCTATTTTACTCTCGTTCTTGTTGTAAAAGTAAAAAATCATGTTTTAGGAAAGAAAGCGTTTGGTCCGTAGCAATGTTCTCATTTTTCCTATTTTTATTCATTCTTTTCCATCTTCGATTTTTATCTTGGTTAAGAATGAGAAAGAATGGGAGTTGAATCAAACACGACCTAAATTAATGATGATAATCTGCTACTGGAAGGGAGAGTTGGTTTTGGCCATGGTTATATTTTTGCTTCAACAAATTAAAATAAATGCAGTTTTCCTTTGATGTGTTTGTTTTATTTATCTTTGCTGGGGCCAACACTGCATGAGTGTTCATCCTTTTGCATTTGTCGTGTTTTATTTTCTTTTTTTTGATTCTATCAATTTGAATATCTTAAATTTATGCTCTATTCTTTGCTACCTCAGAACACTAGAGAGACTGCCCATGCAATTCGAAAGTTGCCTTTGGCCAAGGCTAAAAGGTATTTGGAGGATGTGTTAGCCCATAAGCAAGCCATTCCATTCCAACGTTTCTGTGGGGGTGTTGGTCGAACTGCTCAAGCAAAGAACCGTCATCCAAATGGACAGGGACGCTGGCCTGTTAAGTCTGCCAAATTCATTCTGGATTTGCTTAAGAATGCTGAGAGTAATGCAGATGTATGTTTGATTTCAGCTGGTTATTGAATTTGTTTTCCTTTTCAATTTTTAGTTAACTATCTACATTCTAATGTCACCCTTGTTTCTTTTCCAGGTGAAAGGGTTGGATGTGGATTCATTATATATTTCTCACATCCAGGTAAACCAGGCTCAGAAACAGAGGCGTCGCACTTACCGAGCTCATGGGAGAATCAACCGTGAGTTTGTTAACTTGTTATTAAATTCTACCATCTTCTTTTAACTTTTCTGTGGCTTTTAAGTGTGAATGTTTTGTATGGCAGCCTACATGTCTTCTCCCTGTCACATTGAGTTGATCTTGTCCGAAAAGGAAGAAGCTGTAAAGAAAGAGGTAACCTCTTTAATTGTATTATTACTTTATTAGAGGAATAAGAGCATCAATGAAAGGAATAAAGAAAGAAAAATGTTGGTAAGACTACTCTTGTATTTAATTATTTTCCTGTTGTTGGTTCTTTTTGTTTTGCAGCCTGAGACTCAGTTAGCTCCAAGGAAACCCAGCAAGGCTCAAGCTCTAAGAAGTGGGGCTTCTTCTTGAGAAGTGCGGTAAAGGGGTTCGATGCTGAAGGATGTTATTAGTTGTTTCAACTTCACTTTAAAGGACGATCTTTGTTTCTTCCGGATCAAATTTTGTTATTTAGAGGCATTTAGATCTTTTGTTATTAAACAAACTTTGCTGGTTTTATCTTTTGGTTTTGTCGCTAGTGGAAATTTGGACCATGAAGAGATAGTTAAATATTAAGGCTGCGCTTGTTTGCAGTGTAAATAAAAAACTACACTAATGGAGTTTAACAACGGTTAGATTTCTGAGTGTAAAAAGCAAATCGGCTTTATACTCATTTTACACTCTTGTGTGTTTGGACGATCGATGTAAAATCTTCTCCCAATTGCAAAATCTTCTTCCATTGCCGCTGCCTTTCGATAAGTGGTGTGTCATCTCTGGCCAGTGGCCAGAGGCGATAACAAGACGAACTCCCTTGTCGAACCCCATCTTTTAACTGCACGAAAACGCAGCAGAAACTATGTGTTTGATGCTGCAAGATGGGAAACCCTAGCTGCGGTTAAGAGAACGCTGCCCGGTTATGATTTCCTAGCCCCCACAGTGAATTGAGTTCGATGAGTGTGCTGGCAATGACTGATTGACGAGGACGATGATCGAGATCGTTGTTTGAGGCAGCCATTGTTATCAATGATGGCGCCGATGGGAAGACACCGAGTGAGACAAGGAGAGAGAAAGTAGGAGATACGAGAGATGGTGGTAGCGAGTTTGTTGTATGGAGGTGCAACTGTCGAAAGCAATGATGGTATTGCAATATCAGGTGGTGCTCAGTGAAGTTGGGTGGCGGGGGGCCGGATGAAAAGAAACTAGAAGAAGAGTGGAAGGGGAGGGGAGGGAAAGGAAGAAGGAAAGAAAGGGAGGATTGACTGGACTTTATCAGTTCCGATATTCCTTCCGATCGGCAGAGGAGGGGAGAGCAGACACCACATAATGAGCAAGGTTCAAAATATCGATATGCTCGATACACCGGTATGGGTGTATCGGTTGGGCGAATCGATACAGTTTTTTAGTGTTTTTTTTTTTTTATTTTTTATTTTTTTGCAACTAGTTCAGGAGAGTCGATTTAGGCCTGCTCAACACCCTGAACCGGTCAAACCCCCGATACACCCACTGTAGGAGCGTATTGGAGGGGTCTTGGAATGATGCGTATCGATACTTTGAACCTTGATAATGAAAATATAGTCAGGTAGATAGATGCTTCCTTAAAATGAGTTCGTCTTTGCCATGACTATTGATCTCCTCTACTTCGGTTCACAATAGGCCTTCGATGGTTGGATTTTCTCCAATGCCGCCGGTAGACACCACCATCTGTTAAGAGAGAAGAAGAAGAAGATAGGGGGCGAGCATTCGGTTTATTCGGTTAAAAACCAAACTGAATAAACCGAAATTTTAAAAACCAAATTGAAACGGAAAATTAGAAAAACTGAAATAATAAAAAGTTTGGTTAATTTGGTTAATCGAAATTCTAATTTCAAAACCGAAACCAAAAGTCGAAAAACAAAACCGATTTAACCAAAAATTGAAAAAGTCGAATCGAAAAAACCGAAATCGAAATTTTTAGTTTGGTTTTCGGTTTTAACCGAATAATGCTCACCCCTAGAAGAAGAAGAAGAAGAAGAAGGAGAGAGAGAGAGAGAGAGAGAGAGAGAGAGAGATGTAATTTTCGATGTAAAATTACATATTTACCAAATGCCTGCAAAATCGAACGGGGTGTAAAGTTTACCCAGGTTCGATTTTACACCTCTACCAAAAGCAGCCTAAATGATCAGTAAAAAGTGGTGCGATCATTTCACCCATAAGCTATGGGAATGGGATCTGCGGGAAATGTTCCAGATACATAGTAGGATGTGCATGTGAGATGACCTGTGTGATGAGCAGATCCGAGTCTCTAAGCCGTGGTTGCTCAAGCATAAATCATTCTGGCACTACATATCCATCCAATTTCAAGTACTTGGCAAGTCAACCTGAACAAGAGACTATTCCCTTTAGATCGAGTCTTTTCTGTGCAATAAATAGAGATAGGAACAATTGCTCTCTGTCAAATCACTCGCCTAAAATTGGTCTAAACCCATGTTTTGATGTTTGGGAGAAACTTGGAAAATAAAATGCTGATATTGACCAAACAAGAGAGCCTTAAACCTCTCTATTTTATTATAAGGGTTATATGGAAATACCGAATCGATTAATTTGGTTAATCGGATTTTCAGTTCGGTTTAGGGGTGTTTACTGTTTGCATAAATAAACTGTGGGTTTATTTTTTAAATCGAACTGGGTTTACCGTTTTTTAGACCAGAATTGAACCGAAACTCATCGATTTACACGTTAGTTGATTTGGTTAACTATTGTGGTTTGTCGGTTCATTGTTTTTTACTATTTATATATAAAAATAATATATATAAATAATAAAACACTAGAAATAATGAAATACATATAAAATATTATATATTATATATTATAAATATAGAAATTTATATATAACACATATTTATTAATTTATTATGTATTAAAAATATAAAATATATATAAAAAATATAAATATATATACCGATTGATTCGATTAACCGTTGCCGTTGGTTTTCTATTTTGATTAACTGAAACTGAATTGATATCTTCGATTTTTTTTATATATATCATACTGAAATCGAATAGAAAATTCGGTTTTTTAAAATACCGAAATCAAACCGAATCGAATCGGTTTTTTCCGTCGTTCGGTTTTTCTTGCTCACCCCTAGTTCGGTTCGATTTTATTGAAAACCCTATTTGATGCAAGGTAGGGTTAGGGTTTCACTTTATTCTTTAAAAGGGTTGAAGCAGCCGGAGAAACCCTTTCGTTGGTTTGGGGACGAAAGACACCCGGCGCTGCTCTTT